ATTCGCGAGGTCCTTATTGTGTCTGTAGAACTCATAAAATTTCTGACGAACCTCTAAACTTCTGGTGAACTTTTAGTTCTACCGGATTAGAAGGAGTCCACTGGGGCCACTATCAAATGAAGAACGCCGGCGATTTATTTCATGCAGTCACCAACCGCGAGAACGCCGGCGTGCCAAGGCCATGGCTACACGTGCATTATGTTCTTCGCGAATTATATAACGTTTCCATAACGTGCCCAAGCGAAAGGCCACCGTGTGGATCTTACGACAGATATATAATCGCTTTGCTAAACACCGAACAGAACCAACCTTCCGCCTGGCTGGTGAGTAAGGGGCTGACTACCCCCCCCCCCCCCCCCCCACCCCCACCCCCACCCAACAGCAGCACCTCAGGTTCGAACAACCTGGCTGCACAATAACTAGGGCTGGATCAGTGGCTGACTGGGCCTACCAACGCCTGCCAATCTTGATCCGCGAGATGAATGAATTTGGGATAGTTAACGTTCTTGTTGGCTGTATGAAACTACGACGTAAAAACGTCCATAGTTTGCAGGCGGTTATTGGCCACAACAGACTGGGCTACGGGCTAGTTTCTGTGGCTAAATTTATTGCGGCTTAGGCCGCAGGATTTTAAGTTTGAGACAGGTATCGGGTAGCATGCATGGGCAGCTTTACGCGGATTCAAACGTTGGCGTTTTCCATTTGAATCGAATCGGGAGGTGAACACAAATATTTCGGCTTGTTAGCTTGCTTCTAGCGGCAGTACGGTTCGGAAGAGTTCGCCAGCTGTCGTAAATACTAATGGTCTGCAGTAGGTTCCTCGCCGATCTCATAACCAGCGCGGGTAACAGACACCTTGCGGTTGCTCAGTGCCGCGTATCGGCCGTTGATGACGAGCCCCGAATGACGGCGCTGCTGATTCTTGGTGAGGACAATCATATTCCCAGTCATCCACCACTCAGCACCATTCATCGAGACCATCCGGCCCAGCCGTTGTTTCGGGCAGCTCTCAGCATACAGCCGTGTATCGGGCGTTAGGATGTGGGAGCTGGAATTGTCCAGTTCGGTTCCTTTTTCACCCAGACTGCATACATTTGAAGCATTTCCGTTTTTTCGATTATTTTAGGTTTTGCTTTATTAACCAAGCCTATTCTCGACCCGAAAGATAAAGTGTGTCCAAGCGTCTTACCAGATAGGGCTTCTAACAAGAGCGTAAGGCCCTCCATTCAAATAGGAAGCACTCGAAACCCAATGCAGATGGCCCCCGAACGATGAAATGCACCCCAACAGCTTATCAGAAGAGGCCCGACAAGAGCGTAAGGCCCTCCATTCAAATAATAAGTATCCAAACCCTGTGCAGAGGGCCCCCGAAATATGGAGTGTACCCTAGCAGATTACCAGACGGCCCCGGACAGGAGTACAGCGCCCTAAATTCAAAGGAGGTGAACAGATGGGGCCGCCGACAGGAGTGTAGGGCCATCCATTCAAATGTGAAATACCCACGGCACGATGTAGAGGGCTCCGAATGATCGAGGGTGCCCGAGAATGTTAACAGATAGGGCCCCGTGAAGACCTCCACTCAAAAAGCAAGTACCCAAGACCCGACGTAGAGGTCGCCCAACAATTGGATGCACCGGAGTGGCTTATCAGAAGAGGCCACGACAAGAACACAAGGCCCTTCATTCAAATAAGTAGTGTCAAAAGCCCAGTGCAAAGGGCCCCCGAAAGGTGGAATGTCTCGGACAGATTATCTGATGGACCCTGATAAGAGCGCAGGGCCCTAAATTCAAACAGCGAACCCCAATGTGCAGGGCCCCCAACCAATCCAGTGTGGCCGAACAGTGAGGCAAACAGAGAGGGCCCCCGACAAGTGTGTAGACCCACCGTTCAAAAAAGGATGACCCGGTGTAGAGTCCCCCCAAACGATCGAATGTGCCTGAGCAGGATATCGGATGGGGCCCCCGACAGGAGTGTAGGGCCCTCATTTGAACAAAACGTACCCAAACCTAGTGTGGAGGGCCCCCAAAAAGATTGAGTGTATCTGAGCAGGCGACCCCCAATGATCGAATGCGCCAGAGCATGCTAGCAGATAGGGCCCCCGTCAAGAGTGCAGGGCCCTCCATTCAAATCGAAAGTACCCAAGACCAGACGCAGAGGTCCCCTAACAATCGAATGTGCCCGGGCAGCTTATCAGAAGGGGCCACAACACGAGCATAGAGCGTAGGTCCCTCCATTGAAGTAACAAGTGCCCAAAACCCAGTGCGGAGGGCCCCCGAAAGATGGAGTGTACCTGAGCAGGTTATCAGATGGCCCCGTTAGGAGCGCAGGGCCCTAAATTCAAACGCCAAGACTCAATGTGCAGGGCTCCCGGACAATCCACTTTGGCCGAAGAAGTTAACAGAGGGGACCCCAGACACGTGCGTAGGGCCTCCATTCAGATAGGGCTTCCCCAAGACCCAGCGTAGAGGGCCCCCGAAAGATCGAGTGTATCCGAGCAGGCTATCAGATGGCCTTGACAAGAGCGTAGGTCCCTACATTAAAATACCCAATGTGCCGGGCCCCTGAACAATTCGGTGTGCCGGAGCAGGTTAACAGATGGGCCCCGACAAATGTGCAGGGCCCTCCATTCAAATGGAAAGTACCCTGGACCCAATTTCGAGGGCCCGACCGACAGAGTGCGCATAAGCAGGTTAACAGATAAGCCCCCGACAAGAGCACAGGGCCCTAAGCAAGTGACATAAAATTAGAAGCGCCCTAGACCAATGCAAAGGGCCCATGAGCATATCGCAAGTGTGTCGGTAGGTGAACCGAAACCAACGTAAAGGGCCCCCGAGCCGCCGAGAATACCCGGGCAAGTTAACATGGGGGTCCCCTGCTATAGTCCACAGAGCCTTTCTGGCGACAGGAAAGAATCCAATCCGTGGAAGGCCTCTGATTGACAAGAGCGCCCCGGCACGCTAGCAGGAAGAGCACAGAAACAGTGCAGGTTCCTCCGAGCAAACGCAAAGTAGTCAGGGCCAACGTGGAAGGCTCTTTAACGATCGAAATGGCCTTGCAAGTGGGCATATAGGTCCCCGGAAACAGGATAGGACCCTGGACAGCGTAGTAAGGCTTATAATTTCCAATAAACAACTTTTTCCATTATTGAAGATTTTTATCTTTTCTCGTAGGCCATTCACTTTCGTTTGCAACTCTTCTCGGTGGCCTGGAAATCCAAAGAAATTTGGTTGTGTTTTGTGTTTAAAAAACTGTATCTGTTTGGTCACCTACGGGCCCCTTCGGAGCCTATGGGCCACTTCGGGGTACCACGGAGGTTCATGGGCCCCGTGACCGCCCTCTCTGGATCCGCCCCTAACTCAATCAGTGGTGGAGGTTGGTGCGGGGGGGGGGAAGGGAGGCACAGCGGCCACGTGCCAACAATTGAAGGACCAGACGGAGATCACAATGCCGCTGACTTGTATTGGTGCAGAAATGTGGCATGCACTATCATATAAATACTGGTAGAATTGCGCTCTGTTTCAATTACACCTTGACACATACAACTAAAACCAAGAACACTAAGCCACCCGAAACAAAGTGGTTGAAATCCGCTTATTTTTGTTTCGAGGTAGGCTCTTCTAGGCGACGTGGTTCACATCACAACCGGACAGCTCGTAAATACCGGCTAGGCTTCGGCCCCGGCTAAATACAAGGAGCGTATGTCCAGAGCCGACGATATTGACGGAAAGGCCGAATGCCCGCGTGAGTTCTCATCATGACCGACACCTGACCGTGTAATGAAATTGATAATGGCTGAGCTGCTAGCATGAACATCTCATGACTTTACTTAAATGTCTATGAACTGCTCCAGAAAATCCGACGCAAGCGCGGAAAGTAGGCCCAAACGTAAGTCGGCCGCCGGCCCGGGAACCGAACCCGCCACCCACCCGTTACGAACTTGCAACACCCCGCGGCGCTACGCACCCTCGTGCATTTCGGTGTCGAGAGAACTATCCAAAGCAAAACTCTGGCAGCGATGCTCACCGCGGATTGGAGGTGCCAGTTTGCCGGCGGCTCAAATTTGCGGGATGTGATTTGCGGATTGCATCGGGCCCAGTACTAGTTTTGGCTGTTGACTGGCGGAGAACGCGCGCGATTGGTGGCTTGTGTTTGGCGGAGAGGCGCCCTGGAATTTGCCATCGAAGCGTCTGCGGCCGGCGCCAGACACCCGGCCATTATCTTCAAGCTGTGATGAATAAACAAATCTGCTATCACAAGTTTTCGAACGGTGCTGAAAGGCAGTGTGAAGCGTCCAGACTGAAGCTTGGGTTTCAGACACACGGCACGGCAAGGTATACAAAAATCTTACGTCAGCTAGGGAGAAACATCAAGTTCTACCTTATCAACGTGAGGGTCTTGGACAATTCCACACCAGAGCTGTTGATCTACAACCTCACCACACATAACCTTTTCCAAACCAGCTGTTTTCCTGCGTCGAGCTCGGTACGTCGTGCGCTCTCACGGCACAACCACCGTCCGATAATGGCCTGTCAGATGCCCCACCGCCATGGCCGGGCCTGGGTCGGAGCCAGCGCGCCCCCAGTGAACGTGGCGTCTTCAGACGTCAGCTGACGTTCGGCTTCGGTCAGTGCTTTGCTCCGAGCGGCACCGCTACAGTTGGCATCAGAAAGCTGACAGGAACTGTGTAGATCGTGTCGTTTTAAGCCATCTAGCAGTGAATGCAGATTCCATCCAACCACACAGTTCATCGTTTCGCCCTGCTCTTCCTTAAGTTCTACCATGTTTTGCAGCTGACGGCACTACTGTAACCAACGACCGATCTACGTGGCCAGGATGCGTGTTGATCATGACCGTGCTGTGCAGTGCTGCACACGTTTTGTGCATTTTGAATTTTCGATCAAAAATGGATTTCTAGCCATCGGACACCTTTCGAAAGCTGCGTAAATCGTTCAACTGGGTTTCACTACACTCAAACATCGGCTCTTGCTCAGTTGACGCCATTCTCACAACCAATTTGTGTATTCGAACCTCAGGAATAGCGAAATTTGGGGCTAAGCAAACAAGCCACGTTCACGATCACCAGAGAAGCCTCCAGACTGATTTCTATCACATTCAGGGCTTCAGCGGACTAGCCTTTGGCCTGATCGGCAGGCGAAAACACAGAGAGGAAAGACGCCCCAGCGCAGCGTCCTACTGCGGGCAGCGGAAGCTCTTGCCGGCGAACTTGGCGTTGGCACCCAACTCTTCCTCGATGCGCAGGATCTGGTTGTATTTGCAGAGACGCTCGGAGCGGCAGGGCGCGCCGGTCTTGATCTGCCGGATCGAGTGTAGCACCGTTAACGCCAGCACCCGGCACGGCACTCCACCGACGGCCCGACAGCGAGGCAGCCAGCCGCGCCGCCGGGCCCGAGGCGTCATTGACACCACGGTATCAGGCATGACCCAAATCAGCCAGCGCTGACAACTGAGGCTCGAGAGCACAACTGATATACAGGACAAGTCACGTGCACCGTAACCCCATGTCATGAGTAGCACATCATATCACTTCCCCACGACGCGTTTTCCAGTTGTCACACATAGTAGCCCAGAGCATATGTCACAACAGCATATTTGCCACGACTGTTTGATACCGGAATCCGCATGGACAGCTTCCACGACATTCCCACGGGCCAGCCGAGCAGCGACATCAGAGCTGACCCACCTGTCCGGTACTGAGGCCCACCACCAGGTCGGCGATGAACGGGTCCTCGGTCTCGCCGGAGCGATGGGACACCATGGTGCCCCAGCCGGCCGACTTGGCCAGCTGGTGCGCCTGAATCGCCTCTGTCACCGAGCCGATCTGGCCGACAACGGGACGCCACGTCAGACCGCAGCGCCCTCTATACAGCACGCAGACCAGGGGCGCCACCGGCAGTTGTAAACCAACAGGCCACAGGGCCGCAGACAAACTACCAGTCGAGTCATCTACGTAAAACCTTTCCACAGTATAGCGCCAAATTTGGTTTGGAGTTATGCCACCAATTCAATGTTATCATTATTTCACACTGTCACTGCCAGGCTGATACAAGCTTATTTTTTTTTTAAAGATTTGATCCGAACCCTTTGAATGGATGGATCTCCGGGATCAGAGCTCACGCTAAGCAGTGCTTGTTGTGTGAGCCCTGACCCCTACCATCCGATCGCGCAATTCCATGTCAACGGCAGAATTTTGTGGCGAAAGCTTAACGTGCCGCAATGCTCGGCACGGTCCGTCCTGCCCTCTGACGTCAACTGACCTTTAGCGCGACCGCTGCCACCGGCCGCAGGCCATACCTGTCAAGGGCAAATAGCGAGTGCCCTAAAGCGACTCGAACCCCCCCCCCCCCCCCCGCCACGGGTGGGTGGATCGGAAGGCAGGCGCTCGAACCAACTGAGCTACCAGGACGGACAAATCACCACCAAGATTCAAGCAAAAAGGACGCATCCAACTGCTGACAATAATCCCAGCGGCACCCCCCATCTCAGTGGCCTACTGCGCCCAAAACTGTCATTGGAGACCGAACGACTCACCTGGTTGACTTTGAGCAGCAGGCAGTTGCAGGCCTTCTTGTCGATGCCGGTCTGGATGCGTTTGGGGTTGGTGACAGTCAGATCATCACCGACCACCTGGTGTTTGACGCTGGCTGTGTAGGCGGTCCAGCTGTCCCAGTCGTCCTGGTCGAACGGGTCCTCGACGGACACGATCGGGTAGCGGTTGGCCCAGTCGCGGTATAGGTCGCCCAGCGCCTCACTCGCCACCACCTTGCTGCCGTCGTTGTTCTCCGTCTTGAAGTCCAGGTCGTATTTGCCGCCCTCCCTGACGACAAATCACGCTGGCCCATGATCGGCCCGCACCATATTATCTCGCGCGTCGGGCACGGAGACCATTTTTCCGCAACGCCCCGTCCAACAGCGCAGGTTTGTAACCTGGCACACTTATGACACAGCTGGTCTTGTTTCTCGCCCGCGAACTCACCACATACATACAAAATGCAAAAAATAGCACTCTGCTCTCAAAGGATTCCCCCGCCACTATTTGCACATGTGATCGAGATAGCTTTTGCCTAATCAAAGCCGCCATGACCAGCCACAGGCCCAGCTCCCGGCGACAGCTAGGCTTCGACGGCAGCTCACTTGAAGAACTCGGAGGCGGCCACGTCCATGCCGATCTCGATTTTGCCGGTGTATCCGGCTTTCTCGATCGCCTCGCTGAGCAGCACCAGCGCCTCCTCGTTGTCCTGGATGTTGGGCGCGAAGCCGCCCTCGTCACCCACGGCCGTGGCGTCCAGGCCGAACTTGGCCTTGATGACGTTCTTCAGGTTGTGGTACACCTGGTGGTCGGGAGCACAGCGATGCTATTCCCGCCTCCTATGCTACTAAAGAACGTCTGGCACTGTGCTGTCCCGCCACACATCAAACGGAGCCGCGGTAGAACACCACTGACACCTCTGGCATCTTCCGTTAGCTCTGGGCTCTCCAAACACCTGATGGAATCGGCTTTTAGCAGCATTTAGCACCATTCCAACGAAGAGAAGGCAACCTCGCCCGTCGGTGGCCTGCTGCCAGAACAAGACAGTCGGGTCTGGACGGCTCAGCCGGAAGTGACGGCCACCCTACTGCCAGCCCCACCTCGGAGCCCATCCGCATGGCCTCGGTGAAGTTGGACGCGCCCGTCGGCAGGATCATGAACTCCTGCATGGCCAGCTTGTTGCCGGCGTGCGAGCCGCCGTTGATGACGTTGAAGGCTGGCGTGGGGAGCACGATGTTCTTGTTGTTCGCCAGGTCGGCAATATGCCTGCAAAGAAGGTGGACGCTCCAGTCCACATGTGACGAACCCCGACCAAAGTTGACTGGCGTCAGCAGTACACGGCATCGACAAAAAGGCCGCATGCCACCAGGCTACTTTGCCTGATGGACATATGACGGAGGCCAGCTAGAGCTCTTTTACCCTCGCGATTGCATTTGATGTTTACCGCCGGAACTGACTGGGAACAGTGTGCACACCCCCAGACGCAAACCCCTCATTCTACAGCACCATTCTAAGCAAATAACGAACAACGCTATCGCTAAACCTTCATCTCACAGCTGACATTCTTAGTTTTCTTGGCGTTTGGGCAGGCCCTGGAGAACTCTTCCAAATAACCTGGCCACTTGTGACCTTTTTCCCTACCTAATGCCCTAAAACCTCAAGTTACGATCTCACCGCAATTAAGTTTAAAAAAAGTCAATTCCAATCTGTGGTCCTACTTCTTACATACCTGGGCGCTAACAGAAAACTCCGGAACACTGTTACATGAACGAGTGACAACATCAGCGTTTGCACAAGACCCACAAAAAGAACGCACAAATCCCCGAATGTTTGAACACAATAAGCTACAAAAGGGTCGCCCTTCTGCACACAGTGCTACGGACACTCTAGTGTTACTTCGGTGGTCAAGAAAGCACCCGGCTACGGCAAACACATTTTGGCCAATTCACTTACGCTGGAGTCCATTCCCACAAGCTCCCTCTCTCTCTCACCGCAAAGACCCTTACAAGAATACAGTTTCAATACCTCACAGCCTGACACCGCAAAGTGGTGTCACTGACCGCGCGTTGTTCTTGCTAACACCAGCAGACCAATGGTGGCATCCAGTAATCGTTATCAAACCGCCCAACCGAAAGTCACGCAACAAAAGAGACGCCTACTTGTAGAGCGGAATGCCCTTGGCAGCAGCGCCGGCCTTGCAGACGGCCAGTGAGACGCCGAGCACGGCGTTGGCCCCGAGCTTGGACTTGTTCTCGGTGCCGTCCAGCTGCACCATGAAGTCGTCGATCTCCTTCTGCTGAGTCGGCTCCAGGTTCTGCGGCAGCCCGGGTGGTGTCAGACGCCGGCCAGCGCGTGCGCACGCTACAAGGCGCACCTTTCGCGCGGAGCGACGCGCCAGCATCTCACGACGACAAGCTATAGCCAATGTTCCGCGGGATGCTATCTTGTGGCGAAAACCTTGGCATGCACAGCTCATGTCCTGCAGTCAGTTCAGTCGATAACTCGACTTCTACTATGACCTTACAGTATTACAGGCAATGACAATGGCAATGACAATGACAGTGGCAGCGGCAGTGACGAAGACAGTGCGGCAAAGCCAGTTGTTGCGCGATGCGCCTGACCACCAAAACGTACCTTCTTGAGGAGCTCCGGAACGATCAGCTTATTGATGTTGTCCACAGCCTTGAAGACGCTCTTGCCCATGTACATAGACTTGTCGCCATCACGCAGCTCCAGCGCCTCGTGAACGCCTGAGCGGAAACCACTCATGTTCAGAGAAGTTCACCAACCGGATTGATGTCACAACATAACACACAAAATCGACATCACTCACCAACATAAAACTTTTGTCAACCCACTTGCACGGTATTTTGAGCACACCAAGGACCCGAAACCTATTACATGTTATACCATCCGGTTCTTTTTATTTTGTTCCTTGTTCGAGTCAGAATGAATGATGCGTCTGACCCGTTGGACCATCAATTAGTAGCATCAAATTACTAGCGACATATATGCATATATTGGGTGACAAAGGCATGCCCAGGAACTTGTTTTACGGGTACGGCGCAACCTACGGTAATAACAGTCTAGAAACATCAAGTGACGGCGAACAAAACATATGAAACGGAGACAAGGTACGCCTATGTTTTTGACTATTTTCGCAGCACACACGCACTGCCGCACACAAGAAAATTGCAACATTCGCGTCCGAAGACCACGCAAGGTGCAAAAATACCACATTCTGAGAAGCACGCAGCGGACTGGCAAAGCAGAACCTAGGGATGAAGCACAGTCCACGCTTATTTGATACATGCAGATGTTGACAGTATGACATCCAATATAAATGCACAGACTGGATTCACCTGTACTGGCGCCGGAGGGCACGGCAGCACGGAAGAGGCCCTTCTCGGTGAAGAGGTCGACTTCCACGGTGGGGTTACCGCGGGAATCAAAGATACTGCGCGCGTGAATCTTCTGGATCGGCATTGTCTTGGAATTGCAGATTTGTGACGAGCCTTTACCTGGAAAAGAAAAGAAAGAAAATGAAAACCGGATGTCAGCGATAAACTGTCGGACATCAAATGACGGCAAACAGCCGCTGGAACTCTGAATGACACCGATCACAAACTCCGACTCGCAATTTGTCAGCTGGTTTAATTAAGCGGCGATTGATGGTTTCTTTTTTGTCTAAAGCCAATTGTTTGCTTGTTTCAAGGAAATGCAGTCCCGGAATATCGGCATTAGAAGCAACAAATAGAATGCCATGGTGCTGTCCGCTTCGTTTCGCATATCACTCCGCGCTGGTCTGAAACTCATTAAAAACACGCACGTTAGCGTAATTAAAAATCATCAGAGCAAAAATTTTCACATCGAGGATAATGGCCTCCGGGTTTGCGCCTTTTTCAAATCCCAGCAATTAACAAGCCAATGCCAATGAAGCTTGCACGGTGGGATGCATGACTTTCAATGAAGACGCTTGGTTGTTTCGACACATCTCGGATACGAGACGGGAGGATTTTAAGCTTAATCACCTAACCAGTTAGGTTACATTCACGGAAAATTTGACATGATGAGTGGTGGTCGAGATAGCTGCGCTGGAACGGTTCTGTTGGACAGTCTCAAACAGGCGTGCCTTTAAACATATTAAAGGCCAAGGCAATTATCTATCATCGAAAATAATACGCGATTTTCGAGGGAGCAAATGTGATTGTTCGACAGTGTTTTTTTTTGGGGGGGGGGGAGAGGAATGCTCATCTTCGATGATCCACAGTCGAAATATTGTCATCAACATGGCAAGTCAATACATCAAGAGTTAGTTAATAAAGCGCCACGTCAATCGCATTTTACTCACGTTATCGTACATATTTTAGTACTATATTTTTTTTAGTTGTTCTTTTGCACTGTAGCAATTCCGCAGTCTAAGCATTGTGCTTTCATTAGAACAATATATGCATTAAGACGTCTTAGTCCGGAGAGTTCCGGCACACAAAGAACACTTGGCATGACAGTATTTAGTACGAACTATTGTGATGGAAATATTTTCGGTGCTCATGAAGTCGGGTCAAAACGTAACACTCTGGCATCACAACCTTCTCGTCCCAAGAAAGCGCACGTACGTTTTTTCTAGAGCCCACAATCCCTTTACGAGTGTACTTCTAAGGTTATGCGAATACTGAAATGAGAAAGTGCAGTCAACGAAATGCGCGTGGAATGTCTGCGCGAGAGTACTGAAAAAACAAACAAAATGGGCATGGACGTATTGAATGTTGGCTGCAGACTGAGCAACGACCCAGAATAAAGACCCGAATAATAATCGGTGCTGTGGTAGAACTTTGGAAGTATATTTTTACTCCAAATCACATCAGCAAAGCATATCGACCAACGCCCGATTCTTTATTGAGCACCACACCGATGCTGCGAAATAAAATACTTATCCCTTAGTCTCAATAAAACGCAGGATGGCTATAAAGGCATGACAGTGCGACGGTTATGAACCCAGCTGGTCAAATACCGAACACCTCGACGAAATATTTCGCATGTGTTAACAACATACATTTAACGAATACTTTTCATTCCAATGATGCGTTTTCTTACAGCATTCATCCCACTACAGGGTTAGTATTGTTAAATATTGACTTATGTTTCTAGACACATTAATTTCATGCCGCTGAAGTCATAGCATAACACGCATTTCATGCCTGGACGCTATTCCATTTGACGCCTACGCAATACAAAATCGGTACAAAGTATCATATTCGCACAGCACCAATACCTCATGAAACTTGCACACCGTTCCGGTCGAGAAGTTGATAGTCTTAAATTCACTCGGATCACTTACTAATTGTTGGTGCAACTCTGCGGTTGAAGTAAAAGCAGCCGTGGGAGTTGATGAAAAACTTTGCGCTGAGAAACGGTCAGATTTATGAGGAACGTATCCTTGCAAAGTTTACGGAATGCTCTAAATTTTAAAAAACGGTGCAGCACTTGGACAGAGGACTCCGGCTCGTCTCTCACGCAGAGTTGTGACGAATATTGACCAAACAAAAAGGTGCAGAAATAAAGGAAATCTCAATCTAAGCACTAGAAATTTTGCACTGGGCGAAACATATCAACTACACCCGCAATTAAATCAAAACGAGCACGTGCATCTACTTCAAAGATACCCACGATGGAAATGACGTAAAACGGCAGGGCTATAATTAAGGAACCGAAATGGCACTGCCCGGAGCAGTGACGGTAAGGCCGTTCTTCGGACGCGTCCGCACGCCTACGCCTCGGACGCGCCGCACTCGTACGTTGTTTAGGCGCGGATAAATCGAACAAAGAATAACTAACCTCCTTTCAGGACGTACCACTTACTACCTCCGAACATGACATCACTTTGTCCAGATAGAAAATCACAAGAGGATGAGCTCCAACATCGCTCGCAAAACTATTGGACCATCTACACACGGACGCGGTCCCCCTTCTTTCTGATGGAATGCTGGCTTGGGCAAACGAAGTCGCCGTAACCCAGCCCCGAATATCGCGACACTGTGTGGTGGCATGCGAGCTCGCGTCGAACACACTACGCTGCAATTTGCCCATCACAATCAATTGGGAACTGGCAACGAGAGAATGGTTCCACTGACCAGTGTGGTGGTAGTGGTGGGGGCTCAACGCAAGGGCTGGGTAGCCTCCCTACGAACGACCTGAAGCTAAAAGCGTTTGATATATCCCTGGCGCTGCCCTGCGTAGTCCCCGACATGGGGTCAGTGGGACCTATTATCTATTGCCCCGAGTGGGACAACCCAGGGACGTCGCCAATGGAGAGGCAAAGGGGTTATGCATTCCCCTTATCCCTGAGGCAGGCTAACCGTATACACCGAGGGATTTCGCACAAACCAAGTACAAATTCACAGGATTTGATAACTTAAAAATTTCCCAGCCCTGAGGGCAATTTTGGCTAGGTGCGTCGGCCAACCCGACACCAAGCTCACCCAGGTCCTGTCAGCCACCCTCGCTTTCATTTCGAAGGGGGGGGGGAGGGGCACCAAGCCCGAAAACGGTTGGCACATGCCTGCTGGGGCATCAAGGAACTGAAGGCGCATCACACCGCTCGGTCAAATGCCGCCTCCGGGAACCACGGTAAATTAAGTGGGTGAGTCCGAAGACAAGCGCTCGTGCCAGTGGACGTCGCCGTTATAAGGGGTCTACGACGCAGTTAGCCGCTGATGCCATATGGCGTCGTCTGCCTTTCACCCCGGCAGAAAAGAAGAGCACCGTGGGGAATCGAACCACGTACCTCCGGTTTCCCACACGCGCAATGATAAACGCAGACGCGTTAACCACTACACTACCAGCATCCTCAGTGCGCCAATCGAAGATCCGGGAGGAATCACGCTGCGGACCTCACATCACGGTTCCGGTATTGCAGTGGACAAGCTGCGGGTCTGGGAAACCACAGGCACGGGTTTCGATTCCACGCGGTTCCCGCTCTTCCTGCCAGGATGAGAGACAAGTGGCGCCCTAAGCGTCCGTCGACGAGTGCGTCGCTAAGCGCAGACACGCACGACCATTTACGTCATGTTATGATGCACTCTGTGATCTTAAGCTTTCCAATATCCAGGCAAAGTGTCACAGGAAAAACAGCTGGGAATGCGTGTTTCTTTGGACCATTCAACAAATAATTAAACCACCATATGCCAAAGCTACGGGAGCCGGGTGGCATACACCGGCGCCCTATCAAGCCCGCTTCTCGTTTGAAATTAGCGAAAGACGAACATTGCCTAAGTGACATAAGAGGGCATTCCACAACACTGTCATGATAAAAAACATGCAATAAAACTTGCACAACCTTGGAAGAGGAGTGAACACTACGCTCCGCATCCCAACGAACGGCCACCTTCAACACAGTGCCGTAGTTCCAGTAACATTTGCCGTGTTTCCGAGGCGCAAACACAGGAACATCAAATTCTAACTACACTTACCGCAACATAAAGCCATCTATTCCATTGTATTCTGGGTTGATTAGAGGAGGGACTTCGAGGAGATAAGGAGAACCAGGATATTCTGGAAGAAACATAAATAGCCAAAAGCCATATGAGCCATGCACATTCTGACTCAACAAAGGCGGGGAATGAAACAAAGATTAATGACAAATCGCGATTAGCCATATGAAAATTAACACGGTGGTGCTTTTACAACACCACAGGACTATATACCAATTAAATATCACAATAGTGAAAGTGTCAAAAATTGATACCAATAAATTGCATTTTATCTACATTTGTCAAAGCGTCTCACGATTCCTACGTCCCTTATATTGATTCTTTGCGTTGATTTTCATTGGCGGCACTCCCACTACGGCCCAAAAAGAAAAGTCACGCAACAAAACGTGACCTACCACTCGTGGATTCTACACAGACACATAGAAATATTGTTTCCAGTCAATGACTCCGAAATACGGAATCTTTGGAGAACTCAATACTGACTGCACAACATGTTTGTAATGCATCAAACCGATTTCATTTGCGCAAGGCCAGACATGTCTCGTTCCGCAGTTTTATTCCTGGAATTTGGTTCGTGGATGAGGGACCAGAAGGAATCAATGACGACGTCCAAAATTTAGCCGCAGATTCAGCAGCAGCTAGCACCAAGCTCTCGGTTAGTCAGAGGGAGCCGACAAGAATCACGACTCATCCTGGAACATTCACAGGGATCACAAACATCCAGCCGAAAATGAAACCGACAAAATAAACTCCCACCTGGCAACAATCAACGACAGAGTCAGGGCGCAAGATTCCTGTCGGCGAAAATGTCCAATTTGTCGACAGCCTGACCGCCAACGCCTTCCCCGACATGAAAGGGCAGCACCCAGACCAAACCTGGCTCAGCGAGCAGGTCATCCTGACTCCCAAAAACCTTGATGTTCGTCATATTGAATTCAATCTTCTGGGGGAGCAACATGGAAAAGCAACTGCGCGTGGGCGAGCACTACACCATGCACAGCGAAGGAGGATGTGAACTGAGGACGGAAGGAGGTGCGATCGTAGACCTGACGCTCTCGTGGGAGAAGCATGCCACCAAAGTCGCACACAAATGTAACGGAAATCTTATCTCGATGTACCATCCCAGACACCACTTAACGCCTGATGTTCTCAAAATTATTCGTGACGCCCACATTCTTCCACATACAACCTACTGTTTAAGCGTATGGGGTGGCGCGGTCAAGTGCCAGGTGCAAACGATTAAAAAATTGAATTTTGCCGCCAGGATTGTCTCTGGCATAAAATGCAGCCAGCATATAATACACACTCTGGGATGTCTATGCTGTCTCCGGATTGATGACTTCACGAAAGAGGGACGTGCTGCACATATTCAAAGCTCTAAAATGCAAAGAATCCCACCAGGCTCTTCAATCTCTGTCTAAGCCACGCTGCTCTTTCACAGAAGGAGACGGCTCCTGCACGTCAATGTCTCTCCACCTGCCCAGGCACCGATTGGAAGCCACAAGCGGGCCTTTCCTTATCGTGCCGCAGCAACTTGGAAACGCATGCCACAATCTTGATCACTATACCTTCATTTCTGACTTTTGAGGGATTAAAAACTCTTGTTTTACATTAAAGTCTGGTTCACAGCATCACATCTTATAGCACATTTCGTAGCATCGCCTGTTAAAATGTGTTGTGAACGAGTGATGTAATGACCCGAAGCTAGCGAACATTGTGACTGAAAAGCCACCTGGTGGATGGCTGTCAAACAAACAAAACACAAATACAACTGAACTAACCCATGAAGCTTCTCAACAGCCTGTAGCCATCAGGGCTGCCATCATGACTTGGTGCTCAAACAATGTGCACCCATTCCACTCCCACAAAGCCTGCATTATTTAACACTGCAATGGCATAAAGCTGATCGAGCAGATGATGCCAGGAGTCCTACAGGTGGCCATCATGACAGACAAGGCCAAGCAAGCAATCGTCCTCATCCAAAATACCCTGCTCACCTCATACGACAGGTCTTTCTAACCCACGCAGATGCAGCTTCATGTCAAGCCGGGCTCTGCCATGCCTCTTAACAAGAGCCAAGGTCACCCTTAAAGCAGTGGGCCTAGACTTGTGCAGGCGTCTCCCACGGTCAACTTCACATTGGCGGCCTCAGAGCCAGCAGAAGACCTACTCATCCTGACCCAGGAGAGTACCATCAATAATGTCATGTAAGAGGAAGCACAGCGCCCACAAAATTCTTTGGTGCAGGAATGCAGCCGCAGAGCATTGCAACCTACTCTGGTGCCCGTTTGCTCAAGTCCATCTTCCTACTGCGCCTGACGTCATGTATGTTGCATAACGCCCGACTCGCCCCCTGCCGGAAGTACCCAAGCCGGTGGCGTGCCACAATAATGGACCTTAGAGGAGCCAAAGACCCTTCTGACTGGTCAGTTAGCCAAGCAACCATTCAGTATGACAGGGAGACTTGTTTACTGTCATGCAGGGACATTCATTAAGCAATCTCAGGCTGGCATGCAATATCTGAAGATGACATGTCACTATATATATATACATATATATGTGGGTGTGTGGTGTTATGTTTTACATGCAGAAACCTCATGTTTTTGTTTAATTTACACCTACAACAGGTAAATGCAGCTGCTCTATGAAAACTGCTGATAAAATGGACAGAACTCACAAATTTTCCATAATGGAGCTGAGCTTTCTAAAATGACAGAGGTTCACTGTGAGGGTTGTCCATTGCATAGCTAGCTTCACTGTCATCTGAAGAGACATGGAGATTTGCATCATAATGGCTCAAGCTGGATAACTAAAGGCAGGTTATTAACATTTACTTAATTAAGACAAGATGCATATGCACAGAATGTAAAATGAATTCAAAATCATAACATTTGGAAGCAATATCGGTTTAAAAGTCTGCCATTACAAGCCAAGCACTCATGAACTCAGTCAAATACCCACTGGGGAATCCAACTGCAGCAATTGTGTAAAGATAACAGTGTTATCCCTGCCCCCCCCCCCCCCCCAAACAGAAAATGTCCAGTTGCCAACTGGTGAGAGCACACCAGATGACAACTATTCGCCACAGGGCAGTGAATTACATGCAT